GGGTGGACTCTCTGTGTGGGGTGGACCTGCTGTGTGGGGTGCACTCCTGTGTGAGGTGGACTCCTGTGTGGGGTGCACTCCCTGTGTGGGGTGGACTCCTGTGTGGGGTGGACTCCTGTGTGGGGAACCGGCACTGTCTTCCTTGATATCTGTCTCTCTCCATGTCCCTCCCCCTCCCTTCCATCCTGCTGGGCCTTTGTCTCCTTTTCTCCCTCCCTCCCTCCCTCCCTCCGTCTCTTCCTTCCTTCTGTTACCAGGCAGACATCCTCTCAAACCTGGAGAAAAATCCTTCTCACTAACCTGTGTTCTGTTCCAGACCAGCCACCCTCCATGCAGACCCCCAGGACCTCAGTGGCTATCGTGAAGCCGAATGAGGAACAGGACTGCGGGAACCGGACTCAACCCCGAAGGACGCCTGTGGACCTGCCATCCACCCCGGGCCACTACCCTCTCGTTACCTGGCCCTGACGGAATTCCCACCTCCAGTGCCGCCTTGGTCAGCTGCTCTGACCCCACTGAACCAGGTCCATGACAGGATCAAAGAGAGCAGCCCCTCAACTGCAGGACAGCCCCAGCCCCCTCCCCAAGAAGTCACAAGTCGTCCTCCTACCTCTTAACTAAAAGCCACCTTTCTCCCCTCACTCTGAAAAGGGACCCTCACTCTTGATTCAGGGAGAAGCCTATCTGAGAGTTATTTCTCCTGATTCTTTGGGCAAAGAGTAGTCTCTCCTTCACGGTGGAATCCGCTGTTGGTTTTGTCATTGGTCCCATGATTCTGAGAGGGAAAGGAATCCAGTTTGGGTCAAAGCTGTTATCATGCACCACCCCCCTCCCCTGTTCCTTCCTTTCTCATCTCTCTCCTTCTGTATTTTACTGTTTGTGTGTGTGCTGGTTCCTCTTCTGAGTACTCTCACCTTCTCTGCCTTCTGATAATCTGTCTTTCAGGGGCCAATTCAAATTCCCCATCCTCTGTAATTGGTTTGTTGGCAATGCCTGGCCAAGAAAAATCTTCCTGAGCATTTATTGTTTGTTATCTGCAATCTATTATCACAAACAATTGCTTTTTAAATATGAGTTGTAAACACTTTGAGCATGGGGCTATGACTCCAATCATAGTCCCCTTTCAGTGTATATAATCATTCATTGTATAATTAGGTATCAGGTTTTTAAAAATCTCCATTACAAACATTTGCAAAGTAAAAATGCACAATTTATAGAATACCTTCCAAATCTTTTGTCCTGAATTTATTAATTCCAGTAAAACATGGACTGAGGCCAAGAAAAAAATCAGACACTTACAATGAGGTTGAGATGGTCCATATCACATTTGTGGACCCCTCAACTATATTTCCTAAACACTGTGACATTTTTACATAGACTGCATCAATGAATTCAGTTGGTGAGGAATGCTCAGGAAACCTATACCACGACTCCTACAAGTACTTCTTATTTAAAAACTCACATTTTCTTAGGAAGAAGAGCTAAGAGATCGTTTGGCCATAGCTTTTCCTTCAGATAGAACTGGACACAAACCATCCATTAACCTGACTTTTTCCAAGCTATAACACCATGAGAACTGGCTTGTTATCATATATCACTGAGTCTAAATGGTTTTGTTTCTATTTCAATGGAAGAAATTGTCACATGAAAAAGATGGGCACAGCATAACCTTTACTTCACCAAAGGGATCAGTCTCTTGTTCTCTCACCATCCAAAACAAGAGAGGGAAATCTTCTGAGATTTGGAGAAAAATAGCTAAAACCGTGCCTATCCAAATCACCAAACAATCAGAAAAACCAACAACAAACCCTGAGGACCAGGAGGGATCACTATATAGAGATGCTACTGTGTAATATTAAAAAGGACAATTTTTAAACAAAAAAGCTTATCATGTGTGCAAATAAACAGAAAAGCATGACTATTGCA